CTGCTGCTCCCCAGGTCTCCCCTCCGCAGTCACCGCTTCCACTGAACCCGCATTGGGGAGGTCCCAGGGGCCTGTCCTGTGACACGGGGTCTTCTTGTCTGCCGTGCTTCAGCCCCTGGAAAATGCGCTCCTTCGGGATGCAGGCATCTTACTCCAAACCTTCCTGCGATTGTGTAGGCCGAAGGGATTAGGAGGCAGACAGCAGTAGAAAACCTGAGACAGAGAAAAGAAGAATAAGAAAGGCCCATAACAGATGGAAAATAGAGGATTGGTAAGGGATATGCCAGGAGATGGCAAAAGTGGGAAAAAAAGGAAACAAAAAAACCTAGGAAAGCAGGAGAAGAAAAGCAACTGGAGAAATGTAGAGAAAAGCTAGATGTACAGAGAGATGAAGGACGGCAAGGTAGGGAGGAGGGCAGCAAAGAGGGAGGCTCATCGGAGTGAGGGAGAGAGGGAGGGATTTGGAGCCAGGGTAGACAGCAGAGTGGTGCTTGTGTCAAGGAGAACAGTGGGAGAAGCACAGCAGGGAGGACACCTGGACATCTGGGGTGCCACAGAGTGGGGACAGGGGAGTATGTCAGGGAAGAGAGAATTTAACAGGGAGGGCAGAGGAGGCTCAGAGATGGGAGAAGAGGCAGAAATAGATGGAGATTGAGGACAACTGAAAGACTGGGGAGAAAGAGCATTAAGAGGTTAATAAGTTGCCAGGATGGAGCAGAAGAGGTGGAAGAGAAGGAATAGAGGGAAGAAGGAGATAAACAGCAGAAGAGGAGAAGGGTACAAAATGAAGAACAGAATCCCAGGGAGAAAGAAAAGAAAACAAGAGCTAGAGAGAGAAGGGGAGAATGAGAGATAGGTACAGAATTAGGGAAGGAAGCACCGTAATGAAGACAGAGGGGCTGGGCACAGTGACTCACGCCTGTAATCTCCACACTTCAGGAGACTGAGGCAAGGGGATTGCTTGAGTCCAGGAGTTTGAGACAAGCCTGGGCAACATAGTGAGACCCCCATCTCTGCCAAAAAAAAAAACAAAACAAAACCAGTAAATAACCGGGCCTAATGGTGTGCACCTGTACTCAGTCCAGCTGCTCTGGAGGCCAAGCTAGGTGGATGACTTGAGCCCAGGAGGTCCAGGCTGCAGTGAGCTCATATCATGTCACTACACTGCAGCCTGGACAACAGAGAGAGATCTTGTCTCAAAAGAAAAAAGGGGCGAGAGACTTCGGGTTTAGATGAGTGCGGGAGTTCATTGGATATGATTAGTTGTGACATGTTGACTTCCGTGTATATAATCTAACAACTGAAAACTTGTTTAAATTATACAGATGAGATTGAGAATTTCAAAATTTGTATCTATAAGACATGTACATTCTATAAATCCTGGCATCAGGGGTGTCTTCCACTTGGAATCCCTATTCAGCCAGAGGGAAGTGACTTATTCAGTTGTGAATCACTGCCTTCCCTTTTCCTAGGATGGGGTAGGACGTGGGTAGTGAAGTGGGAAAAAAGTCACTGTCTGTTATTACATAATACTTTTAATTTAATTAATTAAATAATATCTTGAGACAGGGTCTGGCTGTATCACCCAGACTGGAGTGCACTGTCGTGATCTCCTCTAACTGCAGCCTCAACCTTTTGGGCTCAAGCAATCCTCCTACCTCAGCCTTCTGAGTAGCTGGGACCAGAGGCATGAGCCACCAAGCCCAGCTAGTTTTTGTTTTGTTTTGTTTTGTTTTGTTTTGGAAACGGGGTTTCACTATGTTTTCCAGGCTGGTCTCAAAATTCTGGGCTCAAAGTATCCTCCTGCCTTGGCCTCCCAAATTACTGGGATTACAGGTGGGATTACAGAGATGACCCACTGTGTCTGGCTTACATAGCCCTCCCCTTTTTTTTTTGAGAGGGAGTTTTGCTCTTGTTGCCCAGGCTGGAGTGCGATGGCATGATCTCAGCTCACCACAACCTCCGCTTCCCGGCTTCCAGCGATTCTACTGCCTCAGCCTCCTGAGTGGCTGGATGTACATGCATACACCACCATGCCTGGCTAATTTTGTGTTTTTAGTAGAGATGAGGTTTCTTCATGTTGATCCAGGCTGGTCTCTAACTCCCGACCTCAGGTGACCTGCTGCCTCGGCCTCCCAAAGTGCTGGGATTACAGGTGTAAGCCACCAAGCTGAGGCCATAGCAGTTTTTAAAAGGGATGTCAGGGCATGGTGACTCACGCCTGTACTCCCAGCACTTTGGGAGACAGGTGAGTGGATCAGGAGGTCAGGAGTTCGAGACCAACCTGGCCAACACGGTGAAACCCAATCTCTACTTAAAATATACAAAAATTAGGCTGGACGCGGTGGCTCAAGCCTGTAATCCCAGCACTTTGGGAGGCCGAGATGGGCGGATCACGAAGTCAGGAGATCGAGACCATCCTGGCTAATATGGTGAAACCCCGTCTCTACTAAAAAATACAAAAAACTAGCCGGGCGAGGTGACGGGCGCCTATAGTCCCAGCTACTCGGGATGCTGAGGCAGGAGAGTGGCGTAAACCCGGGAGGCAGAGCTTGCAGTGAGCTGAGATCCGGCCACTGCACTCCAGCCTGGGCGACAGAGCGAGACTCCGTCTCAAAAAAAACAAAAAAAACAAAAAAAAACATATATATATATACACACACACACACAAAAATTAGCCGGACGTGGTGGCAGATGCCTAAAATCCCAGCTACTCAGGAGGCTGAGGTGGGAGAATTGCTTGAACCCGGGAGGCAGAAGTTGCAGTGAGCCGAGATTCCATCACTGTATGCCAGCCTGAACAACAGAGCTAGACTCCGTCTGAAAAAAAAAAATAAAGAAAAAGTAAGGAATATCAAAGCCAGGCATGGCGGCTCATTCATGCCTGTAATCCCAGCACTTTGGGAGCAAATCGCTGAAGGTCATGAGTTCGAGACCAGTCTGGCCTACATGGTGAAACTCTGTCTTTACCAAAAATACAAAAATTAGCTGGCCATGTTGACACATGCCTCTAATTCCAGCTACTCTGGAGGCTGAGGCAAGAGAATTACTTGGACCTGGCTGGGAGGCAGAAATTGCAGTGAGCCATGATCGCACCACTGTACTCCAGCCTGGGTGACAGAGTGAGACTCTGTCTCCCCCTCAAAAAAAGAAAAAAAAATTAGCCAAGGATGGTGACATGCATCTGTAGTCCCATCTACTCTGGAGGCTGAGGCAGGAGAATCTCTTTAGACAGGAGAATCATGCCACTGCACTCCAGCCTGAGTGATAGAGCATGACCTGGTCTCAAAAAACAAAAAAAGAAATAACAATCAGCTCTTTAATGTTTCCCTTTATAAGAGCAGTAGTCGTGGCCATGCACGGTGGCTCACACTTGGTAATTCCAGCACTTCGGAAGGCTGATGCGGGTGAATCACCTGAGGTTGGGGGTTCGAGACCAGCCTGACCAATATAGAGACACCTGTCTCCATAAAACTACAAAATTAGCTGGGTGTGGTGGCGCATGCCTGTAATCCCACCTACTTGGGAGGCTGAGGCAGGAGAATTGCTTGAACCCAGGAGGCAAAGGTTGCAGTGAGCCAAGATCATGCCATTGCACTCCAGCCTGGGCAACAAGAGGGAGACTCCATCTCAATAAATAAATAAATAAATAAATAAATAATAAAAATAAAAGCACTAGTCCTATTCTCGAGTAGTCAACACCCATGACCAAATTCTCTCAAAGACCCCATCTGCAGGAACATCCTATTGGACAATAAGAACTCTGAACATTGCTTTTGGCCAATATAATCATTCAGACCAGAGAGCCTGCATCAGGTTTTTCTTGTTTTTATTGTGCAATTTGTTTTATACAATGTTTTCTGTGATCTCCGTTTATAAATTTTCCTAGTACACAGTCTATGTTTTGTATTTTATGCACAGTTAACTAGATAACTAAGGGCAATGCATATATATAAAATTGCTGTATTGCCTGGTGTTACCTAACTGTACCTGTGACATCATAATTACACCCTCCGACGCTGTTCGTCAGTTCTTATTCCTTTTAATGCTGTGTATTTACTTGAACTCATACATCAGAAGGTGGTGATCTTAACATGTATTTCAGTTCTCATAGTGCGTGCTGGTGGGAAGTAGAAGTTGTGGCTTTTTTCTTAAGAGGGAATTGTTTAGAATTCTGCAGGCTGTATAAATGTACTTATTGTTTGCTTGCTGATTTTATCATGGGTTACAATGGCTTACGGATTAATATTTAAGATTTCACATATGGCTTTTCGCTATATGGTATGTAATATAACTGACACACTGCACTTGTTAATTTCAATAAGTCCCTGTTCTGCGTGGATATAGGTAATTTTATGACAGGTATTCAGAAAAAGATTGTATTAACTTTTTTTTTTTTGAGATGGAGTCTCACTCTGTCAGTGCAGAGGCACAATGTTGGCTCACTGAAATCTCCGCCTCCAAGGTTCAAACGATTCTTGTGCCTCAGCCTCCTGAGTAGCTGAGACTACAGGTGCCCACCACCATGCCTGCCTGATTTTTGTAATCTTTTCTTATCTTCTCTCTGCAATGATTATTTGACAATACAGAATTTCCATTGATTTTGGTTACCCTTACATAAGCTTGTTGTGGATTATTTATAAATATAGTACGTGTAAATATGAAAAATATACAGTTTTCTTTTCCTTGTGTGACAGTGATATGTTTTTTGTAAACTGTGATGCACTTTAGGGTCACAGTGGAAAAACACTCCTGACTTTAGGCTTATACATGTTTCTGCCCTGTCAGTGTTTTGTCACGATATTGGAAATAGGCTTCCATAGAAATGATTTGAAGAACATGTAATCGCCTTTTATTAAAGGATCTTACTCCTTTTGTGCTCCTAAACTTTGAAGATCATGTTTGGGAAGTTTAAGTATTTTTTTGTGTTGTATTTCCACATTTCAGTATGGTTTACCATCTGGACTTAATTGGAAATCTATTATGTTTATATTTTGTAGATATCTCTTCCAAATGCTTGATGAAAAAGGTGGAAAGATCACTTGAGCCAGGGCATTGAAGTCTGCAGTGAGCCCTGTTTTTGCCACCACATTCCAGCCTGGGTGAGTGAGCTAGACCCTGTCTCAAACAAACAAGCAAATAAATGAGAGGTACAATTCCTCCTTTGAAAATAAAGAAAGAGATTTTCTTTCCTTTCGTCTCTTTTCTTAGGACATTTATTTAGAAAATTTGCAAATGCGTTTTCTGTCTTCTGAGGTAGTCTTTTCTTCTTTCAGATGGAGACGGGGTTTCGCTCTTGTTGCCCAGGCTGGAGTTAAATGGTGTGATCTCTGGTCACTGCAATTTCCATCTGCCCGGTACATGCGATTCTCCCACCTCAGCCTCCAGAGGAGCTGGGACTACAGGCACCCACCATAATGCCTGGCTGATTTTTATAGTTTTACAGAGACGAGGTTTCACCATGTTGGCCAGGCTGGTCTTGAACTTCTCATTTCAGATGATCCTCCAGGCTCAGCCTTCCAAAGTACTGGGATTACAGGTGTGAGCCACCACACCTGGCCCAGGGTTGTATTTCTGAAGAACTTGGGTACTCGCTTTGAAAGACAAACAATAGCCGGGTGTGGTGGCTCAGGCCAGTAATCCCAGCACTTTGGGAGGTCAAGGTGGGCCAATCCCGAGGTCAGGAGTTCGAGACCACCTGACCAACATGGTGAAACCCTGTCTCTACTGAAAATACAAAAAAAATTAGCCGGGCATGGTGGCACATGCCTGTAGTCCCAGCTACTCGGGAGACTGAGGCAGGAGAATTGCTTGAACCTGGGAGGCAGAGGCTGCAGTGAGCCAAGATTGTGCCACTGCACTACAGCCTGGGCAACAAAGCGAGACTCCATCTCAAAACAAGAAGAAGAAAAAAAAAAGGCAAACAACAAGATAAATAGTACCTGGGTCTCAGTAGGAAATTAAATAATTCAAATATCAAATGATTCCAATTTAAAGCTTTGGACCTTTAAGTAATTCTGAGCCTTGAGAGGAATGTGGTCCTGCAACCTGAGTCCAGGGGAATGCAGGCGCAACTTCTAAGAGTTTTCCTGGCTGACCCTGGTGGCTCAAGCCTGTAATCCCAATACTTTTGGACACCGAAACATCTGAGTCACTTGACTTCAGGAGTTTGAAACCAGCTTGGCCAGCTTGGTGAAACCCTGTCTATACTAAAAATAGAGAGAAATTACAGGTGTCTGCCACCACGCCCAGATTATTTTTGTATTATGGTTAGTGTTAGGGTATTTCCCCCTCCCTCGGGATGATGCTAATTAGCTGACAGAGATCCTCAACTCTGTTACCAAGTAGAGCCAGGATGATCTATGTGTAACCAATGGCTTCTCAAGTCCTCTCCTCTGAGGACTGATTAGTGTTTATCTTGAAAACATGTACTTAATGAGTTGTACAGAACAGTGAAGTTGCTTTCTCTCTTTTCAACCTCTTAGCTGTTTGCCTCTATTTCCCATCACATTCTGTCCTGAAGCTTATTTATTAATAAAATAGTTTTAATTTCTCTATTATCGTCGTAGAGATGATTTCTCATTTGGTGGAATACTCTTTGTTTTTCAATTATATTTTCTCACATTTAAAAAGTGAAGTAAAGAATATTTCCTGGGCCAGGCACGGTGACTCACAAGTGTAATCCTAGCACTTTGGGAGGCCGAGGCAGGTGGATCACTTGAAGTCAGGAGTTCCAGACCAGCCTGGCCAGCATGGTGAAACCCCATCTCTACCAAAAATACAAAAATTAGCTGGGCGTGGTCGTGTGCGCTTGTAATAGCAGCTACTCCAAAGGCTGAGGCAGAATAGCTTCCACTCAGGAGGCAGAGGCTGCAGTGAGCCACAATCTCACAACTGCACCCCAGCATGGGCCACAGAGAAATACTCTGTCTCATAAATAAAAGGAAAGAAAAAAGTGAAAACAGGCCGGGCGCGGTGGCTCAAGCCTGTAATCCCAGCACTTTGAGAGGCCCAGACGGGCGGATCACTAGGTCAGGAGATCGAGACCATCCTGGCTAACACAGTGAAACCCCGTCTCTACTAAAAAATGCAAAAAACGTGGCGGGCGCCTGTAGTCCCAGCTACTCGGGAGGCGGAGGCAGGAGAATGGTGTAAACCTGGGAGGCGGAGCTTGCAGTGAGCTGAGATCCGGCCACTGCACTCCAGCCTGGGAGACAGAGCCAGACTCCGTCTCAAGGAAAAAAAAAAAAGAAAGAAAAAAGTGAAAACGAGAGAAAGTAATAGATCTCTTTCACAAATGAGCTGGGACAACTAACTAGATATTCACATGGAAAAGAATAATGCTGGATCCTTATCTCACACCATGAAAAATTTTATTTAAAAACGGTAAAAACAAAAGAAAAAACACACAAAAGGCCAGCCGCAGTGGCTTACATCTGTAATCCTAGCAGTTTGGGAGGCTGAGGCCGGCGGATCACGAGGTCAGGAGATCCAGACCATCCTGGCTAACATGGTGAAACCCCCTCTGTACTAAAAAATGCAAAACAGACGGACATCATGGCGGGTACCTGTAGTCAAAGTTACTGGAAAGACTGAGGCGGGAGAATGGTGTGAACCCAGGAGGAGGTGCTTGCAGTGATCCAAAATCTTGCCACTGCACAGCCAGAGAGAGACAAGGAAGGGAGCCCTACGGGAGGGGGTGTCACTTTGTCGCCCAGACTGGCCTGGACCCCCAATTTCAGCGATTCTCCCGCTGCTGCTGCTTGAGTAGCTGGGACCTCAGGCTTCAGCCCCGTGCCTGCAACCTTGTTTTGTTTAAGCAGCAAGTGGTGACCTCACTCCTCCCTGGCCTGAACACTCCGTCCCTCTTCCCAGGGGGAGGCCCTAGGGGAGTCTCTGAAGCTGAGCACAGGGTGGACTCTCCCTCTGCAGTGAATGGAGACTAGAAATGGAGAGGATTTCTATTCTGTTCTGTGGGCTGTCAGCATGAAATCCTAGTTCCGCCCAGGCAGGGCTTTGCATTTCACATTCTAGTTTGCATGCCCGTTCCAGACAATTCCAGGGCTTTTGAATTATGCCTTAGCCTTCCTGGCCGCTCTCACCTCCAAAAACCTAGAAAACAGAGACGCTGGGTCCCGCCCTGGCCCGGCTGTCTGCGGGTTCTAAAGGGCAAGGTCTCTCCGCCCCTACCCCGCCCAGGCCCCGCTACACTGCTTGCGGGCCCCGCCCAAGCCTGGCTTCTGTCCTGCGCGCGCAAACCCGGAAGGGGATTCCGTGGAGTGAAGGTCCTACCGCGGCGCGTGAGTTTCGCTCTGTCTTGTGTTAAGTATGCCCTTCCCAGGTCCCTGGCGCTTCTGTCCCTGGGACGTGGGGTTCCCACGGACCTGGAAATTCTTGCCTGTCTTCCTTCACCCAGAGAAAACTGAGACGTCCCCTTAAGAGTCCAGGAGTTGCTTCCTTCTGGGGTTGAAGTCGTCCGGAGGCTGGTCCCCTACTCGGTCTTTCTGTTATAGGGCAGTGCATACACTTCCTATAGCGCAGTTTTCCTGGTCAAAACCTTGTTCTGACTCCTCCCACCCCATGCTTTTTAAAGTCCTCATCCGCGAGGTGGATTCCCGCCCTGAGCGCCTCCAGGCTCGCCTCCCAGGCTACCGGCCCCAGTCCCGGGAAGGCTGCGTCTTCTTCCTGGGTCCTGGGTGCCTGCAGGGGCCACCCTTGTCTTAAGGCGCCGTTGCCCCCCACGTCCCTCCTTGTGCCGGGCCCTGCTGCTCCCCAAGTCTTCCCTCTGCAGTCACCGCTTTCCCTGAATCAGCGTTGGGCAGGTCCCAGGGGCTTGCCCTATGACACCGGGTATTCTTGCCTGCCCAGCTCCAGGCCCCCGGAAAATGCGCTTCTCCGGGATGCAGGCGTCTTACTTCAAACCCCCAGAGTGGTGCTGGTGGCCAGGAGAACAGGGAGAACCACGGAAGGAAGGACGCTTGGGTTTTTGGGGTGCTAGAGAGTGGGGACAGGGGAATGTAACAGGGAAGAGAGAATTTAACAGAGCAGAGGAGACGCAGAGATAAGAGGCGGTAATATATAGAGATTGAGGGCGATCAAAAGATTGGGGAGAAGGGCAACAAGAGGTTAAATAAGGACCGACGGAGTTTTGCTCTTGTTGCCCAGGCTAAAGTACAACAGCGTGATCTTGGCTCACCGCAACCTTCACCTCTGGGGTTCAAGTGATTCTTCTGTCTCAGCCTCCTGAGTAGTTACGATTACAGGCGAGCACCACCATGGCTGGCTAATTTTGTATTTTCAGTAGTGATGGGGTTTCTCCATCTTGGTCAGGCTAGTCTTGAACTCCTGACCTCAGTGATCCTCCCGCCTCAGCCTCCCAAGGTGCTGGGATTACAGGCATGAGCCGCCATGCCCAGCCTTTAATTTTTTTTTTTTTTTTGGAGACACTCTTACTGTTTCCCAGGCTGGAGTACAGTAGCAGGATCACAGCTCAGTGCAGCGGCAACCTCCTGGGCTCAAGTGATTTTCCCACCTCAGCCTCTGGAGTAGCTGGGACTGGAGGAGTAGCCTGGCTAATGTTTATATATATATATATATATTTATTTATTGAAACTCTCTTTGTCACCCAGGCTGGAGTGCAGTGGTCTCACTGCAATCTCCGCCTCCTGGAGTCAAGAGAGTCTTGTGCCTCAGCCTCCTGAGTAGCTGGGGTTATAGGTGTGCACAACTATGCCCTGCTAATTTTTCTATTTTTAGTAGAGACCTGGTTTCTCCATGTTGGCCAGGCTGGTCTCGAACTCCTAACCTTGTGGTCTTCCTGTCCCGGCCTCCCAAAGTGCTGGGATAATAGGTGTGAGTCACCATGCCTGGCCTCATTGTTTTCAAAGTATGATATATTTTCAGATATTTCTCCTTTTACCCAAGATTTCATTAGATGTATATTTTTTAACCATTTTAAAATTGTTTCTCTATGAAATTGTGTTCAGTTTACATTGAGGACTGTGTGCTTTCTAGTCTTTATCATATATCGAAAACATTTTCTACTATGTGATATATGATTTTAGGTTGTTTCAGTGTGTACTTGATAATGATATCAGGGACCTTTTTTCTTTACCCTAACATGAAAATTTAGTTGAAGTAGCCTATTCCATTTTCTTTTGTCATCAGAAAAAATGGTGATCTGTGAGCTTCTAAGTAAGTGTCTCCCTCAAGTTCCTCTGGTCCATAATATTCTCTACAGATGTTGAAGGATGGGCTGGATTGACTTGGAACCTTGGTTTAGCAGAGCCCATATGTTCATGAGAAAAGCATTTGCTCAGATCTCATTTCTACAGCTGCCTCTTTTTTAGTGTTTCAAAGACCTATTGCTATGTGTGCACAGTCGTGCATATTTTGAACATTTTTTTGGGAGTGAGTAATTATATGTTTGGGATTGATGCCATCAGAACCTTACAACTTGAAAGAAGTTTGCTTTGCTCAGGTATATAAAAGATAGTCCTGGAATTTTTGTTTGTTTGTTTGTTTTTCTTTGAGATGGAGTCTTGCTCTTTCGCCCAGGCTGGAGTGCAGTGGCATGATCTCAGCTCACTGCAACCTCCACCTACCAGGTTCAAGCAATCCTTTTGCCTCAGCCTCTCAAGTAGCAGGGACTGTAGGCGTGAACCCCCAAACCTGGCTAATTTCTGTATTTTTAGTAGACATGGGATGTCACCATATTGGCCAGGATAGTGTCGAACTCCTGACCTCGTGATTCACCCAGTTTGTCCTCCCAAAGTGTTGGGATTACAGGTATGAGCTACCTTGTCTGGCTGCCCTTTTTTTTTTTTTTTTTTTTTGTAAGATCAAGTGTTACCCTATCACCCAGGCTGGAATGCAGTGGCACAATCTTAGATCACTGCAACCTCTGCCTCCCAGCCTCAAGTGATCTTGCATCATCCTCCCAAGTAACTGGGACCACAGATGCATGCCATGAGCTCTGGCTAATTTTTTGTATTTTTGGTAGAGATGGGGTTAACTATGTTGCCCACGTTGGTTTCAAACTTCTAGGCTCAAGTGGTCTGCCTGCCTCAACTACCCAAAGTGTTGGGATTACAAGGGTGAGTCACCACTCCTGGCTAGTCTTGGAATTTTCTAGAGGGGAAGACCAAGGCAGCTTATTGGGCCTTCCAGGCCATCACATGGGAATCAGCCACAACTCCTTCCTCCTCACCTCGGAGCTTCTCAGGATAACTTGGGGAAATGTCTCCCACCGTGAGCCTCGGTGAGCCCACCTGGAACATAGAGGTGAGGAATACGACCAGGAAAGCTCAGTCAGAGTGACACTGACCCCTGAAATGACTGACAAAATACAGTGTGTGGCTTTTCTTCTGGGAGAGGTTACTGCTCATTTTAAACTCAAATTTCAAGTGGATTCCAGCTCTCCAAGATGAGCAAAAACAGGGGATTAGACTCAAATCACCTTGAACCTTATCATCTCAGAGCTTTCAGCCACCTACACGACTCCATGTCCCCTGCAGGCCTCGCCACTGAGCTTTACAATCCTGTGTCCAGTTGTCTCCTCAGCTCTCTCCTGGGACATCAAACAGGCATCCCCACCTTCAGGTGTCCATAAGTGACTTCCTAAATCCCCAAACACATTCCCTTGCAGTCTGCACAGCTCAGTTGAGAGTGACTGTGTTCTTCCAGAAACTTAGCGGAACTTGACAGTATGTGTTTTAAATATGGAAAATAAATTACATTATTTGTAAGTGTTGTAATTTATAATATAAAGAGAAACTTACATGTATATGTGAAAAGAGTGAGAAGATACATCACTTCCAATTTTTTTTTTTTTTTAAGACAAATTTTCACTCTTGTGGGCCAGGGGGAGTGCAATGGCACGATCTCGGCTCACTGCAACCTCTGTCTCCTGGGGTCAAGGAATTCTCCTGCCTCAGACTGCCTAGTAGCTAGGATCATAGTTGACTTTCAAAATTCTTTTGGGTTGTGGGAGAAAAATGTTTGAAGACCGTATCCCTATGTGTCTGTGCCCCCAGGATCTCTCTGACCTCATCTACCTGTGCCCTCCTTTCTTCCACTGCTCCAGCCACATGGATCGCTTTCCTTTTCCTGCTGCTGAGGTTGCTCCTGTCTCAGGGCCTTCGCTTGAGCTGTCCCTCTGTCTAGGGCTCTCTGCCCCTCAGCTGCAAGTGACAAGCAGCCTTTCTTTGCTAGGTCTGTGTTCTGATATCATCTTCTCGGGTTTCCTTTGTGATCTCCCACAGCCCCCCATTTGACATTGCAGCTGTGAAACCAGAAAATCTTACACAGATCTTAGTTAATTTAGAAAGTTTATTTTGCCCAAGGTGGTCGGGGCAGAGCTTCATTTTACACATATTATGGAGACATGAGGCATCAGTCAGTACATGTAAGAAGTACATTGGTTTGGTCTGCATGGTGGCCAACTTTAAACAAAGGCAGGAAGACTTGAAGCAGGGCGGGGGCTTCCAGGTCACAGAGAACTGAGGCACAAATGGTTGCAATCTTCTGAGTTTCCTTTTTTTTTTTTGAGATGAAGTCTCATTTTGTCACCCAGGCTGGAGTGCAGTGGCAGGATGTCGGCTCCCTGCAACCTCTGCCTCCTGGGTTCAAGTGATTCTCCTGCCACAGCTTCCCAAGTAGATGCCCCGATCATTTCTGTATTTTTAGTAGAGATGGGGTTTCACCATGCTGGCTGGGCTGGTCTCCATGTCTTGACCCCAAGTGATCTGCCTGCCTAGACCTCCCATAGTGCTGGGATGACAGACAGTCCTGAGCCACTGTACTGGGTCCTTCTTTTGAGTTTCTGATTAGCCTTTCCAAAGGAGGCACTCAGATGTGCATCTATGTCAGGGAGCAGAGGGGTGACTTTGAATAGAAGGGGAGTCTTGTTCCCTAAGCAGTTTCCACCTTGACGTTTCTCTTTTGCTTAGTGATTTGGGGCCCCAAGGTTTATTTTCCTTACAGCCCAACCTTCATCCCACCTCTGTCCAGATTTACTGTTCTGTGTGATTTTTTTTTTTTTTTTTTTTTTTGAGACGGAGTCTTGCTGTGTCACCCAGGCTGGAGTGCAGTGGTGGGATCTCAGCTCACTGCAAGCTCCGCCTCCCGCTTCAAGCAATTCTCCTGCCTCAGGCTCCTGAATAGCTAGGATTACTGGTGCTCACCACCATGCCCAGCTAATTTTTGTATTTTTAGTAGAGACAGTGTTTCACCATGTTGACCAGTCTGGTCTTGAACTCCTGACCCCGTGATCCACCCATCTCTGCCTCCCAGAGTGCTGGGATTATAGGCGTGAGCCACCGTGCCCGGCCTCACTGTGATTACTTTTGTGCCTTTGCCATCCACTGTCTGGATCCTGGTGAGAACAAGGCCCCAAGGGAAGAGCAGAACCAGAACGTGGGGCTGTGCTGGGCTCGTCCCTCTGAGTGGAGCTCAACCCTGGCTTCACATTAGACTGCAGAGCATTTTGCAAATAGAGCTTTTGTGCTGCTTTAGCAGGGGATTCTTATTCTGAAGGGATGGAGCCCACCCTCAGTAATAGTTGCAGTGGCCCAGGTGCTTGTCATCTGTGTGCAGCACTGAGCATCAGAGCTCTATGTCCTCCATTTCTGAGGGCTGAGCTCAGCCTGTGATCCACAGAGATGAGGGGCTGTCCTCTGGGTGGGGTTTGATGAGGGATGAGTCTGTATCCTGAAGGGGAGATCAGTCCAGCCCAGCTTCCCTCTGCTGCCTCGTGTGTGGGGGCTTCTCCAGGAGGGGAGTGAGATCTGAAGACCGGGGTCAAACGTACACTTACAGGTCTTCCTGTGGGGTTTTCTTATCTCTGCATAATCTCTGGTGCAGTGGGCAGTGGGGGACCATCTTTCTACAGGGTGAGGTCTCCCTTGTTCATGTGTTTTTGTCACAGGAAGGGAGTGAGTCATTTCTAACATGAAGTCTCACTTTTTTTTTTCACATACAGGATTGATTTCTAAAGACTCATGTTATGTGAGGAAGCAGCTGAGAAGAGGAAAGGAAAGGAGCCAGACATGGCCCTTCCTCAGGTGAAGTGATGTTCCTCTGGGGATTAATCTGTCTCTTTCCTTTCTGAAATGCCAGGTATTGTAGTAGCCAGTCTTTTCTGAGTCTGAAGCATTTTGCCTAACAGGTTCGCTCACACTCACCCATGCCTGCCCTCAATTCCTGTCACCTGCTCTGAGATTCTGTCTCCTGTGACCCAGTGACATGAACTTGGGAAGAGGCTCTACTGGGCATGGTTGTGGGAAGGGCTCACACCCCATCTCTACTAAAAATACAAAAATTAGCTGCATGTGGTGGTGCATATCTGTAATCTCAGCTACTCAGGGGGCTCAGGCAGGAGAATCACTTGAATCCGGGAGGTGGAGGTTACCGTACACCGAAATTGTGCCACTGCATTCCAGCCTGGGAAATGGTGTGAGACTCTGTCTCAAAAGAAAAAAGAGAGAGAGAGAGAAGGTGTCACTCTGTGGCTTCGTTCTGGAGTACAATGGCACAATTCAGAGTTTACAGCAGCCTCAAACTCCTGGGCTCAACTAATCCCTAATTTAACCCCCCAAAGAGCCTGAATAATAGACATGGGTCACCGTATGTATGTATGTATGTATGTATGTACATATTTCTTTGTTTTAAGATGGAGTCTCAGTCACTAAAGCTGGAGTGCAATGGTACCATCTCGGCTCAATTTAACCTCCCCCTCCCAGTTTCAAGCAGTTCTTCTACCTCAGCCTCCCAAGTTGCCTGGACTACAGGTACGCACCACCACACCCAGCTAATTTTTGTATTTTTAGTTGAGACGGGGTTTCATCATGTTGGTTAGGCTGGTCTGGAACTCCTGACCTCATGATCTGCCTATCTCAGACTCCCTAAGTGTTGGGATTAAAGGTGTGGGCTACTGTGTCCGGCCTTATTTTTTATATTATATTTTTATTTTGTTGTCCAGGCTGGAGTGCATGGTGCAATCATAGCTCACTATAGCCTTGATATCCTGGCCTCAAGTGATCCTCCCGTCTTGGCCTCCCAAATTGCTGACATTCTTGATGGCAGATAGCCAGCCCGGCCTGACTCTGCACGTTTTTGAGATGGAGTCTCGCTCTGTTGCCCAGGTTGGATTGCAGTGGCATGATCTCAGCTCACTGTAACCTCTGCCTTCTGGCTTCAAGCAATTCTTTTGCCTCAGCCTCCCGAGTAAGGCATTTGCTGCCACGCCTTGCTATTTTTTTTTTTTTTTTTTTGAGACAGAGTCTTGCTCTGTCACCCAGGCTGGAGTGCAGTGGCGCAATCGCAGCTCACTGCAAACTCTGCCTCCCGGGTTCATGCCATTCTCCTGCCTCAGCCTCCTGAGTAGCTGGGACTACAGGTGCCCACCACCACTCCCGGCTAATTTTTTAAAAATTTTTAATAGAGACAGGGTTTTACCGTGTTAGCCGTGATGGTCTAGATCTCCTGACCTCATGATCCGCCTGCCTCGGTCTCCTAAAGTGTTGGGATTACAGGCGTGAGCCACCGCGCCCAGTCTTTTTTTTTGTATTTTTAGTAGAGATGGGGTTTCACCATATTGGTCAGGCTGGCTGAACTCCTGATCTTGTGATTCTTCCAGCTCGGCCTCCCAAAGTGCTGGGATTATAGGCCTCAGCCACCGTGCTTGGCCAAACTCTGCACTTTTAATGACTCATGGTGGAATGGGAAGTGGAGATAGGCATCAGTGGTACAGGATGCTTTATTATATCATTGATTTTATTTTATTTTATTTTATTTTATTTTTGAATTGACTCTCATTCTTTCGTCCAGACTGGAGTGCAGTGGTGTGATTTCATTTCCCTGTAGCCTCTGACTCCCGGATTACAGTGATTCTTTTGCCTCAGCCTCTCGGGTAGCTGGGATTAGAAGTGCACACCACCACGGGTATAATGGCATGATGTGTGTGTATGAACACATGGATGGATAAGCCCATGGTTTATGTAGGAAACACATTTGCAATAAGTTTTATTTTTTATAATAATTGTAATGATTTTAAGTATTTTTCATTGTTGTCAACTATCATCATAATGAGTTAATAGTAAGAAGGGGCCAGGCTTGGTGGCTCACGCCTTTAATCCCAGCACTTTGGGAGGCTGAGGTGGATAGATCAAGATGTCAGGAGTTCAAGACCAGCCTGGCTAAGATGGTGAAACCCCGTTGCTCCTAAATATACAAAAATTAGATGGACACAGTGGCAGGTACCTCACACCCCAGCTACTGGGGAGTCTGAGGCCAGAGAATGGCTTGAACCTGGGTGGCACAGGTTGCAGTGAGCTGAGACATTGTGCCACTGCACTCCAGCCTATGCAACAGAGTGAGACTCCGTCTGGGAAAAAAATAAAATAAGAAGTATCGTGAAGGATTATTTGCATGCCTGTGTGTGTCCATTCAGTGACCTTGTAGGATGCTCCATGTTCTTACCCTTGGACCTTTATCACATTCTCTCCACTGGATAGACTTGTATCAGTGTCAGTTTAGTTTAAAGCTGTGTCTGTTACTTAGGTGTTTATGTTCACATGTGAATCCCAGACATCTGGATTCGGGTGCTCGTGTTGATATTTTTAGCTATTTGATTTGTGGCAAGCTTCCTAGAGTGTGTGTGATGCAGCTGTCTCCAAGTACAGATCTTTCTTCATGGGATAGTGTGTTATTTTGTGGCCTAAGGCATGGGAAGCACTTAGAACAGTGTGTAGCACATGTGAAGCATTCAAAAATGTTAGTCATGGCTATTGCTGTGATCATGACAGTTTTTTTTTTTTTTTTTCTTGGAGATGGAGTATTGCTCTGTCACCCAGGCTGAAGTGCAGTGGCATGATATTGGCTCACTGCAACCTCTGCCTCCTGGTTTCAAGCAATTCTCTGGCCTCAGCCTCCTGAATGTTGGGGATTGCAGACACCCACCACCACGCCCAGCTAATTTTTGTATTTTTAGTAGAGAAGAGTTTTCAGCATGTTCCCCGACTGGTCTCGAACTCCTGACCTCATGATCCACCTACCTCAGCCTCGCAAAGTGCTGGGATTACAGGCATGAGCCACTGTGCCTGACCAATCATGATAGTTTTTAGATTCATACTTTTCTTTCAAAGACATTGCACTTTGTCCTCTCTGAAACAGCACTTGTATTTTAGCTCACCTAGAGACTAAATGTCACCTGTATGTGGAACGTAATATCTGACTTATCTGTAGAGAAAACTCTGTGTTTGTTTGTTTTTTTTTTTTTGAGATGGAGTCTTTCTCTGTTGTCAGGCTAAAGTGCAGTGGTGCGATCTCGGCTCACTGCAACCTCTGCCTCCCAGATTCAAGCAATGCTCCTGCCTCAGCCTCTTGAGTAGCTGGGAGTACAGACCCACAACATGACACTCAGCTAATTTTTTGTATTTTTAGTAGAGACGTAGTTTTGTCATGTTGGCCATGATGGTGTCAATCTCTCGACCACATTATTTGCCTGCCTTGGTCTCCCAAAGTGCTGGGATTACAGGCGAGAGCCACTGCCCATCACTGCTTTTTTTTTTTTTTAGATGGAGTATCAGTCTGTTGCCCAGGATGGAGTACAGTGGTGCACAGTTGGCTCACTGCAGCCTCCATCTCCTGGGTTCAAGTGATTCTCCTGCCTCAGCCTCCTATGTAGCTGGGATAACAGGTGCCTGCCACCATGCCCGGCTAATTTTTATATTTTTAGTAGAGACAAGTTTTCACCACGTTGGCCATGCTGGTCTTGAACTCTGGACCTCAAATAATCTGTCTGTGTTGGCCTTCTGAAGTGTTGGAATTACAGTCATGAACCACCACGCCTGACCCTGTGTTTCCTTTTTATTTATATAGTTTTTATATTGTCCATAAAATCCAGACTTCCCTAATGACTGATGGGATCTTAACATCTTTCAAGGAAAAGTATAATAAAATGCAACTATAGGGAAAAAATATTTAAAAATACCTTAACTTGGTTTTGTCAGAACATGGTCTTTGATCAAATACATACTTATTTTCTCTTTTCTCATTTCCTGTGAAGGTGATAACTCCTCCATAATGTTTTGTGGAAATGTGTGTTTCATTTTAGGGACGCTTGACTTTCAGGGATGTGGCTATAGAATTCTCATTGGCGGAGTGGAAATGCCTGAACCCTGCGCAGAGGGCTTTATACAGGGAAGTGATGTTGGAGAACTACAGGAACCTGGAGTCTGTGGGTGAGGAAAATGTCCCTGTAGGCCTGAGGAGTCTGCTGTTGTCTATCTTGGCTCTTCCTGGTTTTGTATTCTCTTTTGTGATTTTTCCCCATACATGTTTGTTTTTGTTTTTGTTTCTGTTTTTTGAGGTGGCGTTTCACTCTTGTTGTCCAAGCTGGAGTGCAATGGTGTGATCTTGGCTCACCATAACCTCCGCCTTCCAGGTTCAAGCGATTCTCCTGCCTCAGCCTCCCAAATAGCTGGGATTACAGGCATGTGCCACCATGCCCAGCTAATTTTGTATTTTTAGTAGAGACAGGGTTTCTCCATGTTGGTCAGGCTCATATCTAACTCCTGACATCAGATGATCCACCCACCTTGGCTTCCAAAACTGCTGGGTTTACAGGCATGAGCCACTGTGCCCAGCTCATTCTGGTTTTTGAGAAGCATCACAGAAGCATCTCTCACTGGCACTGTGACGATGTTCATCTCATAAACTAATGATCATGTTCTCTAAGTAGCAGTCAGTGGTGTTGAAATTCCTCCCAGCAAGGACGTCATTCGGGCTCACAGCCTCATGTGTATGAGGCTCTTCACTGAACTCTTGCTCATTTCACATTTTCATACCAATATGTGTCATTGTTCATTTTTAACAAGAAAACCTGTGTTCAGTTTTTTGTAGGATCAACCCTGTAGCAGATATGGTTTTAATCAATGTTGTTGAGGGAGGTTGTGAGATTGAATGAGGTTTCCATAGTTTAATTCTACTGTCATTTCCTTAAGATACACAGTGGCTTTCAAGTTGCTCGTTTCTATGGTTTTTTTTGTTTGTTTGTTCGTTTGTTTTGAGTCAGAGTCTCTTGAGTGCCGTGGTGTGATCTTGGCTCACTGCAACCTCCACCTTTTGGGTTGAAGTGATTCTCCTGCCTCAGCCTCTTGAGTGGCTGGGATTACAGGCATGTGTCACCACACCCGACTAATTTTTGGTGGTTCTATTCCAGATGGTGGTTTCGCCATGTTGGCCAGGCTGGTTTTGATAGCCTCGTCTGATGTGATTCGGTTGCCTTGGATTCCCAAAGTGCTGGGATTACAGGCATGAGCCTCTGCCTATCCGAGTTTGTTTTTAACGCTGAATACTATTCCATTTTATGTGTGTACCACATTTTCCTCATATATTTATCTGTTGATGGATATCTGGGTTGGTTTTTTCTCTTTGCTATTATAAATAATACTGCCAGGCTGGGTGCGTTGGCTCATGTCTGTAATCCCAGCCCATTGGAAGGCTGAGGTGGGTGAATCACCTGAGGTCAGGAGTTTGAGACCAGCTTGGCCGACATGGTGAAACCACATTTTTTTTAAAGGTATAGTTTCTTTTTTTTTAAGATGGTGTATTGCTCTGTCACCCAGGCTGGAGTGCAGTGATGCAATCTCAGCTCACTGCGACCTCTGCCTCCCAGGTCAAGCAATCTCCTACCTGAGCCTTCTGAGTAACTGGGATTACAGATGTGCACCACCATGCCCGGCTAATGTTTTCTATTTTTTTAGTAGAGACAGTGTTTCACCATGCTGGCCTGGCTGATCTCAAACTCCTGACCTCGTGATTCACCCTCTCGTCCTCCCAATGTGCTGGGATTACAGACATAAGCCACTTCACTCAACCTGGCTCTGTTTTCACAAACACATCTCTACCTACTCAGCCAGAGGATCCTTGTTCACCCCCGTGGTCTCCTGCATTGCTCTATTGTACTCTTCATAGTTTACTTGTTTTGTGTGTGTGTGTGTGTGTGTGTGTGTGTGTATGTGTATGTATTTCTGGAATCTACACAAGGGATTTTGTTGAGTATATTCTTGAAACTAGGAATCAGAGGCATTTAACTTAATAGATGTAAAACTGCTTTCACCTCAGGCCACCATACTTCTGCTTGTTTGGATCTCGTTCATTCTTGTCCCTTGCCCATATTGTAATTTGCATAGTTAACCTTGGGTCAATATTTTACCATTGCTAAATTAGTTCCACTTTCCTCCAAGCTCAAGATTTGGTCTATCCTAGTGGAATTTATTCCCACAGATGTGCACGCACAAAGTTTGCTCCTACGTGCCAATTACTTCCTGTCTTCCACACTTACCCTTCCTTTCCTGGCCTTGCCTCACATGATACATTGATCTGGATGCAAATACAGTTTCTTTCCAGTCTATTGATTTTGTAATGCTGAACACCCCAATTTCCCCGTGAGCCCCTCGCCTCCAACACTACTCTCACTGAGTAAGTCAAGACCTTGTTCATCCACTGGACAAAATTATAGGAGGCTGCCTGAATCAATGTGTGCAGGGCATGATGACTCAGCACATGATCCATGAGGGATGACTTGGCACCACTGTAAGTAGCACAGCTCAGCCCTTTTGTCCCAGCTCAGCCCTTGTATCCCCCTTGGTGTACTTCTTTCTGTTCTGCTTGTATTTTCTGTGTGCAGTCATTTCCTGTAATGCCTGGGCTGACTATTGTGCCTAAGTAGATGTCGTGGGATCCTTCAGGTCCAGGATCAAGTCTTGTTCCTCACTTACCGTATGTGCAAATTGGGATCATGTACATGAACACTGTGGGCCTGCTGTCGTTATTTGAGAAATTATGTTAATTTGCCTCCAGGGTGTTTTTGTTTTTGTTTTCTTTGAGATGGAGTTTTGCTCCTGCTGCCCAGGCTGAAGTTCAATGGCAGAATCTCAGTTCACTACAACCTCCACCTCCCGGGTTCAAGTGATTCTCCTGCCTTAGCCTGCCAAGTAGCTGGGATTACAGGCATGTGCTACCACACTGGCTAATTTTGTATTTTTAGTACAGATGAATTTTCCCCATGTTGGCTAGGCTTGTCTCGAATTCCTGACCTCAATGATCTGTCTATCTCAGCCTCCCAAAGTGCTGAGATTACCGGCATCAGCCACTGTACCCGGCCTCTTTTTTTTTTTTTCTTTTCTTTTAATGGAGCTTCCCTTTACTTGCCCAGGCTGGAGTGCAATGGTGCAATCTCAGCTCACCGCAACCTCCACTTCCTGGGTTCAAATGATTGTCCTGCCTCAGGCTCCTAAGTATTTGGGATTATGCCTGGCACAAACCTGGCTAATTTTTGTATTTTTAGGAGAGAGGGGGTTTCTCTATATTAGTCAGGCTGGTCTCGAACTCCCAACCTCAGGTGATTTCGTTCACCTGCTTTTTAAAACAAGTGAATACTATTAGATGACTTCGTATACATTTTATACTACAGTCTCAACTTCCTTTGTTTAGTAAAATTTGTCAGCCTTCAGTGATGTTGATGATGAGATGCCCATTTTCCTGTCTCACTCATCTCACTGTTCTGTCAGAAATAGCTTAGACTGGCCAGCTGCAGTGACTTTCACCTCTAATTCCAGCACTTTGAAAGGCTGAGGTGGGTAGATGTCTTGAGGTCAGGAGTTTGAGACCAGTCAGGCAAACATAATGAAATCTTGAATCTACTAAATTAAAAGAAATTGGATGGGCATGATGGTTCATGCCTATAATCCCAAAATTTTGGAAGGCCGAGACAGGCGGATCACCTGAGGTCAGAAGTTCAAGACCAGCCTGGCCAACATGGTGAAACCCCGTCTGTAGTAAAAATACAAAAATTAGCTGGGTGTGTTGGTATGCACCTGTAATCCCAGCTTCTTGTGAGACTGAGACAGAAGAATCACTGGAACCTGGGAGGTGGATGTTGCAGTGAACCATGATCGTGCCACTGCACTCCAGCCTGGGTGACAGAGTTAGATTCCATTTCCCAAAAAAAAGAAAAAAAAAACAACAACAAAAACAAATTAGTCAGGCATGGTACATGTGTCTGTAGTTCCTGCTACTCAAGAGGCTGAGGCACGAGAATCTCTTTAGGGAGGAGAATCGTGCCACTACACTCCAGCCTGGGTGATGAAGCATTACTCGATCTCAAAAACAGACAAAAAAAGAAATAGCTTAAACTGGAAAGCTTAAGACATAGCAATTTATTTCTCATGAATCTGGAAAGTGGAAAATCCAAGAGCAAGATGTCAGCTAGATTGGTTCTTGGCGAGAGCCTTCTTCATATAAATATGAAGTGTCATACTGAAGTGTCACATTTACACACTTCAGTATGATTTACCATCTGTAGTTAATTAGAAACCTATTGGTGTTTATATTTTGTAGATATCTCTTCCAAATGCATGATGAAGGAGATCTTGTCAACAGGGCAGGGCAATACGGAAGTGCTCCACACAGGGACATTGCAAAGACATGAAAGTCATCACATTGGAGATTTTTGCTTCCAGGATATTGAGAAAGAAATTCATGACATTGATTTTCAGTGTCAAGAAGATGAAAGAAATGGCCATGAAGCACCCATGACAAAAATTAAAATGTTGACTGGGAGTACAGACCGATATGATCAAAGGCAAGCTGGAAACAAGCCTATTAATGATCAGCTTGGATCATGCTTTCATTCGCATCTGCCTCAACTCCACTTATTTCAGATCAAAGGTATAATTGCTAATCAACTTGAGAAGTCTACCAATGATGCTCCCTCACTTTCAACATTCCAAAGAATTTCTTGTAGGCCCCAAATCCATATTTCTAATAACTATGAGAGTAATTCCCCAAATTCTTCACTACTCGCACAAAAACAGAAAGTACACATGAGAGAAACATCTTTCCAATGTAATGAGAGTGATAAAGCCTTTAATTGTAGCTCAGTCTTAAGGAAACACCAGATAATCCATTTAGGAGACAAACAATATAAATGTGATGGAGTAAAACCTTACAAGTGTACTGAGTGTGGCAAGATCTTTGGTCATAATTCAGCCCTTGTAATTCATAAGGCAATTCATAGTGGAGAGAAACCTTACAAGTGTAATGAATGTGGCAAGACTTTTAATCAACAATCACACCTTTCACGTCATCATAGACTTCACACTGGAGAGAAGCCTTACAAATGTAAGGTTTGTGACAAGGCTTTCACGTGTCATTCCTACCTGGCAAACCATACTAGAATTCATAGTGGAGAGAAACCTTACAAGTGTAATGAGTGTGGCAAGGCTTTTAACCAACAATCAAACCTTGCACGTCATCATAGACTTCATACTGGAGAGAAACCTTACAAATGTGAAGAATGTGACAAAGTTTTCAGTCAGAAATCAACCCTTGAGATACATCAGAGAATTCACACTGGAGAGAAACCGTACAAATGTAAGGTTTGTGACACAGCTTTCACGTGTAATTCACAGCTGGCACGACATAGAAGAATTCACACTAGAGAGAAAACTTACAAGTGTAATGTGTGTGGCAAGACCTTCATTCACATGTCATACCTCGTATGCCATCGTAGAGTTCATAGTGGTGAGAAACCTTACAAGTGTAATGAGTGTGGAAAGACCTTCAGTCACAGATCATACCTTGTATGCCATCGTAGAGTTCATAGTGGAGAGAAACCTTACAAGTGTAATGAATGTGGCAGGACCTTCAGTCACAGGTCATCCCTTGTATGCCATCGTAGACTTCATAGTGGTGAGAAACCTTACAAGTGTAATGAGTGCAGCAAGACCTTCAGTCGCAGGTCATCCCTCCTATGCCATCGTAGACTTCATAGTGGTGAGAAACCTTACAAGTTTAATGAGTATGGCAATAACTTCCGTCACTGGCCATCCCTTATATACCATCGTAAACGTCACACTGGAGAGAAATCTTACAAATGTACAGTTTGTGACAAGGCTTTTGTGCGTAAGTCAGTCCTAGCAATACATACTAGAATTCACAGTGCAGAGAAACCTTACAAGTGTAATGAATGTGGGAAGGCTTTTAAGCAACAATCACACCTTTCACGTCATCATAGAATTCATACTGGAGAGAAACCTTACAAATGTGAAGCATGTGACAAAGTTTTCAGTCGCAAATCAACCCTTGAGACACACAAGAGAATTCACACTGGAGAGAAACCGTACAAATGTAAGGTTTGTGACACAGCTTTCACGTGGAATTCACAGCTGGCTCGACATACCAGAATTCACACTGGAGAGAAAACTTACAAGTGTAATGAGTGTGGTAAGACTTTCAGTCACAAGTCCTCCCTTGTATGCCATCGAAGACTTCATGGTGGAGAGAAATCTTACAAATGTGAGGTTTGTGACAAGGCTTTCACGTGTCGTTCCTACGTGACAAAACATACTAGAATTCATAGTGGAGAGAAACCTTACAAGTGTAATGAGTGCGGCAAGACCTTCAGTCACAGGTCATCCCTTGTATGCCATCATAGACTTCATAGTGGTGAGAAACCTTACAAGTGTAATGAGTGCGGCAAGACCTTCAGCCAGAAGGCATCCCTTCTATGCCATCGTAGACTTCATAGTGGTGAGAAACCTTACAAGTGTAATGAGTGTGGAAATACCTTCCGTCACTGGTCATCCCTTGTATGCCATCGTAGACTTCATAACGGAGAGAAATCTTACAAATGTACGGTTTGTGACAAGGCTTTCGTGCGTAATTCACTCCTGGCAAGACATACTACAATTCACACTGCAGAGAAACCTTACAAGTGTAATGAATGTGGGAAGGTTTTTAATCGACAGTCACACCTTTCAAGTCATCATAGAATTCATACTGGAGAGAAACCTTACAAATGTGAAGCATGTGACAAAGTTTTCAGTCGCAAATCACACCTTAAAAGGCATAGTAGAATTCACACTGGAGAGAAACTTTTTAAGTGTAGTGAGTGTGGCAAAGCCTTTAGTGAACAGTCAGTGCTTATTCACCATCAGGCAATTCATGGTTTAGGGAAAGTTGACTAATGTAATTGTGTCCGGAATTGATGGGTTCTTGGTCTCACTGAGTTCAAGAATGAAGCCACGGATCCTCGCGGTGAGTGTTACAGTACTTAAAGATGGTGTATCCGGAGTCTGTGCTTTCAGATGTTTGGATTTGTCCACAGTTTCTTTCTTCTGGTGGGTGCATGGTCTCACTGACTTCAGGAGTGAAGCTTCAGACCTTTGCAATGAGTGTTATAGCTCATAAAGGCAGCGTGGACCCAAAGAGTGAGCAGTAGCAAGATTTATTGTAAAGAGTGAAAGAACAAAGCTTCCACAGTGTGGAAGGGGACCCAAGCAGGATGCTACTGCTGGCTGTGGCAGCCTATTATTCCCTTATTTGACCCCTCCCACATCATACTGATTGGTCCATTTTACAGGGCGCTTATTGGCCCACTTTACAGAGAGCTGATTGATCCATTTTTACAGGGTGCTGATTGGTGTGTTAATAAACCTTTAGCTAGATACAGAGTGCTGATTGGTGTGCTTACAATCCTTTAGCTAGACACAGAGTACTAGACAGAAAAGTTCTCCAAGTCTCCACTAGATTAGCTAGATACAGAGTGCTGATTGGTGCATCCACAAACACTGAGCTAGACACAGAGTACTGATTGGAGCATATACAATCTTCTAGCTAGACATAAAGTTCTCCAAGTCCCCACCCGACTCAGGAGCCCAGCGGGCTTTGCCTAGTTGATGTTGCGCTGGGGTCGCAGGCAGAGCTGTCCGTCAGTCCCGCACGTCCACACTCTTCAGCCCTTGGGTGGTCGATGGGACTCGGAGCCATGGAGCAGGGGGCGGTGCCTCTCGGGGAGGCTCGGTCCACGCGGGAGCCCACAGGGCGGGGTTGGGCTCAGGCATGGTGGGCTGTAGATCCTGAGCCCTGCCCCGTGGGGAAGCACTGAGACCCCGTGAGAATTCAACCATGGCGTAGTTGGGCTGGCAGTACTGGGGGACCTGGCGCACCCTCCTCAGCTCCTGGCCCGGGTGCTAAGTCCCTCACTGCCAGGGGCTGGCAGAGCCAGATGCCCGCTCCAATTGTGGGGCCCGCCAAGCCCATGCCTACCTGGAACTCTCTGTGAGCGCCGTGCACTGCCCCAGTTCCCACCTGTGCCTCTCACTCCACACCTCCCCACAAGCAGAAGGAGCTGCCTCCAGCCTCAGCCAGCCCAGAAGGCGCTCCCACAGTGCAGTGGCGGGCTGAAGGACTCCTCAAGTACTACCAGAGTGGACATAGGCTGAGGAGGCGCCGAGAGTGAGGGCTGCTAGTGCACTGTCACCTCTCATGATGTTTGTCACAAAGTCTTCAGTAATGCTACAACCATTGCAAATCATTGGAGAACCCATAATGAAGAGAGATCTTACAAGTGTAATAAACGTGGCAAATTTTTCAGACACAGTTCATACATCGCAGTTCATCAGCAAACTCATACCGCAGAGAAACCTTACAAATGTCATGACTGTGGCAGGGTCTTCAGTCAAACTTCATCCTATGCAAAACAGGAGAATTCATACAGAAGGGAAAGCTCACAACTGTGGTGATTGTGGCAGAGCATTAACTTCATGTTCACACCTCATTAGACATCAGAGAATCCATACTGTACAGAAATCTTACAAATGTCATCAGTGTGGCAAAGGCTTCAGTCCGAGGTCACTCGGACTGTCAGTAGGAAATTAAATATTTCAAACATCAAATATTTCAAATTTAAAGCTACAGACTTTTAAATAATTCTGAGCCTTGAGAGGAACATGGTCATGCAACCTGAGTCCAGTGGCATGCAGGCTCAACTTCTACATGTTTTCCTGACCAGGCACGGTGGCTCACACCTGTAATCCCAGCACTTTGGGAGACTGAGGTGGGCGGATCACCTGATGTCAGGAATTATAAACCAGCCTGGCCAACATGGGGAAACCCCGTCTCTACTGAAAACACAAAGCCATTAGCTGGGCATGGTGGTGCACGCCTGTATTTTCAGCTACTTGGGAGGCTGAGGCAGGAGAACTGCTTGAATCCAGGATGTGGAGGTTGTAGTTAGCCGAGATTGTGCCACTGTACTCTAGCCTGGGCAACAGAGCAGGACTTCGTACCAAAATAAAACAAAACAAAACAAAATGTGCTATACAATTGAGTTTCCTAATATCAATTAAAAATTTTTTCATGTAAATAAGAAAGCTAAGCAGTCCCAGAGATAAGACCTCCTGGCATCATTGTCCCTTCTTACAGAGTGATAATGTAACTTTCCTTGAAGTGTATCAGTCTGTCACCAATCAAGCTACTGCAACCTATGCATTGGACTTGAATGGAAAAAGTGGTGATTCTGCTAAAGCTTCTCATCTTTCCTTATCTGTGTGAAACATTAATGTCTCTACTTCGGAACACTGACCCCATTCATTTGGAGTTGAGGTTTCCAGGTGGCTATTCTCATGCTTTGTGTTCAAATAAACTCTATAATTAATAATTGTCAGGCCTCTGAGCCCAAGCCAAGCCATCGCATCCCCTGTGACTTGCATGTGTACGCCCAGATGGCCTGAAGTAACTGAAGAATCACAAAAGAAGTGAAAATGCCCTGTCCCTGCCTTAGCTGATGACATTCCACCACAAAAAAAGTGAAAATGGCCAGTCCTTTCCTTAAGTGATGACATTACCTTCTGAAATTCCTTTTCCTGGCTCATCCTGGCTCAAAAGTTCCCCCACTGAGCACCTTGTGACCCCCACCTGCCCGCCAGAGAACAACCTCCTTTGACTAATTTTCCTTTACCTACCCAAATCCTATAAAATGGTCCCACCCTTATCTCCCTTCGCTGACTCTCTTTTCGGACTCAGCCCGCCTGCACCCAGGTGATTAAAAAGCTTTATTGCTCACACAAAGCCTGTTTGGTGGTCTCTTCAAATGGACGCGCATGACAATAATGTATTCTAAATTTTATTATTTCCTGCTGACATCAGTTTCTGTCGGATTGTAGGAGCCTCACCAGAGAGGGCACCTGTCGCCATGTTGTAAAACTCATATTTGTCAAAAAGACATGGGTTAGGGTTTCTCCCCCTCCCTCTGGATGAAGCTAATTAGCTGACACAGATGGTCACCTCCATTACCAAGTAGAGCCAGGATGAACTATGTGTGATCAAGGGTGTTGTCAAGTCCTCTTCCCTGAGGACTGATTGGTGTTTATCTTGAAAACATGAACTTGGGTTGTACAGAACAGTTAAGTTTCTTTCTCTCTTTTCAACCTCTCAACTGTTCTCTATTTCCCATCACATTCTGGTATAAGGCTTATTTATTAATAAAACAGTTTTTATTTCTTTCGCTGTTATCGTCGTGAAGATGATATCTCATTTAAGGGAAGATTTTTTAGTTTTCAATTATATTTTCTCAACATTTAAAAGCGAAGTAAAGAGTATTTCTTGGGCCAGGCACAGTGGCTCACTCCTGTAATACCAGCATTTCAGGAGGCCGAGGCAGGCGGATCACTTCAAGTCAGGAGTTTGAGACCAGTCTGACCAACATGGTGAAAACCCGTCTTTACAAAAAATACAAAAATTAGCCGGGTGTGGTGGCGCGCGCCTATAAAGCCAGCTATTCTGGAGGCCGAGGCAGGAGAATCGCTTGAACCCAGGAGGCAGAGGCTACACTGAGCCGAGATCTAGCCACTACACTCCAACCTGGGCGACAGAGAAATACTCTGTCTCAAAAAAAAAAAAAAAAAGGAAAAGAAAAGAAAGAAAAGAAATTAAAAAAGAAAGTAATAGATCTCTTCCACAAATGTGCTAGGACAATTAACTGAATAACCACATGGAAACGAATAATGTTGGATCCCTATCTCACACAATCAAAATTTTATTTTAAAAATTAAAAGAGACAAGGAAGGGAGCCCTTCGGGAGGTGTGACTTTGTCCCCCAGGCTGGCCTGGACCCCCAGGCTCAGCGATCCTCCTGCCCCTGGGTCCTTAGGCTCCTGCCCATGCGGCCGCATCCCTGCTGTGTTTAAGCAGCAGGTGGTGACCTCACTCCTCCCTGGCCTGAGCCCTCCATCGCGCATCCCATGCAGGGGTCCTCGGGAAGTCTCTGAAGCTGAGCACAGGGTGAACTCTCCCTTCTGAGTGAATGGAGAGTAGAAAGGGAGAGGATTTCTATTCTGTTCTCTGGGCCGTCAGCATGAAATTGTACGTTCTGCCCAGGCAGGGTTTTGCATTTCACATTCTAGTTTGCAACCCCGTTCCAGACAATTCCAGGGCTTTTGAATCTTGCTTCAGCCTTCCTGACCTCTCTAGCATCCAAAGTCCCAAAAATAGAGTCGCTGGGAGCGAGGCTGAGGGACCTGTCCCGCCCCGGCCCCGCCCTCTGCTGGTTCTAAGGGCGAGGTCTCTCCGCCTGGGGCCCCACCTCTACCTTGCTCAGGTCCAGCCCACTTTCTCGTTGGCTCCACCCAGGCCTGGCTTTAGTCCTGTGCGCACAGATGCGCGCAGACCAGGAAGTAGATCTCCTAGAGTGAAAATCGCGCCGCGGCGGTGAGTTTTGCTCTGTGTTGTATTAAGTGTGCACTCCGCAGGTCCCCAGCACTTCCGCACCTGGGACATGGGGTCCCCGCAGACCTGTAAATTCTCGCCCATCTTCCTTCAACCGGAGAAAATGCGGACATTCCTCTGGGAATTCGGAAGTCGCTTCCTTTTGTGCTTAAAGTCGACCTAAGGCTGTTCCCGTCTCCGGTCTTCTGCTACAGGGCGATGTATACACTTCCTATCGTGTAGTTTCTGTGCTCAAAACCGTTTTTTAACTCCTCCCTCCCCGCGCTTTTCAAAGTCCTCACACCGAGATGTGTATTTCCGACCTGGGCGCCTCCCAGCCTCACCCTTGAAGGCCCCTGAAGCGCAAACGCCTCGACCCCAGTCTCGGGGAGGCCACGTTCTCTGCCTGGTGCTGGGATATTGTGGACCCCACCCTTGTACGAAGGCGTCGTCACACCCCACCTCCCGCCTCATGCTGGGCCCTGCTGCTCCCCAAGTCTCCCCTTAGCAGTCACCGCTTCTCCTGAACCTGCGTTGGGGAGGAGCCCGGAGCCTGTCCTGTGACACCCGGTGTTCTTGCCTGCCCAGCTCCAGCCGCTGAAAAATGAGCTTCTCCGGGATGCAGGCGTTTTACTCCAAACTCTCCTGTGATTGTGTGGGCCAAAAGGATCAGGGGACAGAGAGAGGGACTGAGAGAGCAGTAGAAAACCTGAGACAGAGAAAAGCAGAAAGACCCATAACAGATAGCAAAGTAGAGGATGGTGAGGGATTTGTGAAGAGACAGCAAAAGTGAAAACAAAAAAGATAAGAAAGCAGGAGGAGAAATGTAGAGAAAAGCTACAAGAGACAGCAAAAGTGGGGGAAAAAAAGAAAAAAAGAAAAGAAAGCGGAGGAGAAAAGCAACCGGAGAAATGTAGAGAAAATCTAGATGTACAGAGAGATGATGGACGACAGCAAGGTACAGAGGGGCAGCAAAGAGGGAGGCTCATCAGAGTGAGGGAGAGGAGGAGGGATTTGGAGCCAGGGCAGACAGAGCACAGTGGTGCTGGTGGCAAGGAGAACAGAGGGAGAATCACAGCAGGGAGGATACCTGGGGATCTGGGGTGCCAGAGAGCGGGGACAGGGGGTATAACAGGGAAGACAAAATTTAACAGGGAAAGCAGAGGAGGAGCAGAGATGGGAGAAGAGGCAGAAATAGATGGAGATTGAGGACTATCTAAAGATTGGGGAGAAGGAGCAACAAGAGGTTAAACAAGATGAGAGGATGGAACCCAGATAATTTTTGTATTTTTAGTAGAGACAGGGTTTCACCATGTTGGCCAAGTTGGTCTTGAACTTCTGACCTCAGGTGATCCACCCGCCTCGACCTCCCAAATTGCTGGGATTACAGGCATGAGCCACCGCACCTGGCCACCCATGCATTCTTGATTGAAAAAGTTTGCTTATGTCTTAGTTCTACAGCTGACCCTGTTTCCCTGTTTGTTTGTTTTGAGACGCACTTTCACTCTTGTTGCCCAGGCTGGAGTGCAATGGAGCGATCTCACGTCACCGCAAGCCTTTTTTTTTTTTTTTGAGATGGGAGGTCCCCTCTTGTTGCCCAGGCTGGAGTGCAATGATGCGATCTCGGCTCACTGCAACCTCTGACTTTCTCGTTCAAGCAATTCTCCTGCCTCAGCCTCCCTAGTGGCTGGGATTACAGGCATGTACCACCACGCCAGGCTAATTTTGTATTTTTAGTACAGATGGGGTTTCTCCATATTGGTCAGGCTGGTCTCGAACTCCCGACTTTAGGTGATCCGCCGGCATCGGCCTCCCAAAGTGCTGGGATTACAGGCATGAGCCACCAAGCCTGGCCTACTCACTGCAACCTTTACCTCCCAGTTTCAAGTGATTGTCCTGCCTTGGCCTTCCTGAGTAGCTGGAATTACAGGCATGCGTCACCACTTGTAGATAATTTTTGTAGTTTTAGTAGAGATGGGATTTCTCCATGTTGGTCAGGCTGGTCTAGAACTCCCAACCTCAGGTGATGCGCCCGCCTCGGCCTCCCAAAGTGCTGGGATTACGGGTGTGAGCCACTGCACTTGGCCTCTCTGTTTTCAAGGTCACTAGCTGTGTCTTTATACTTCTGCATTTTATAAATGTTACTGTAATTTTCTTGTGAGGAAGAATTAAATGTTGGGAATCAGTGGCATCAGAACCTGACAAAAGAAGTTTGTTTATCCCAGGTATGTGAAAGATGCTTCTCTAAGTTTCAAGGATAATTTTGATAAGGCCAGCCCTTTCCATTAGCGCTTCCAGGCCACCATGTCAGAATTCAGGTACATCTTCTCACTCATCTCAGACCTTCTCAGCGTAACTCATTGAAAATGTCCCTGTTCTGAGGATATCACAGCGAAATCTAAAGCAGGTCATGTCAGTCCCTGGCAGGGAACCCTCCACCGGCTTCCCGTGTTCCCCAGGACAAAAGTCCAGCTCCTCACTGTGGCTCCACAGCCCTGTGTCCAGGGGCCCTGCCAGTGTCCAGCCTCCTCCTGGGAGCTTGCCCTCATCTCATGTCTCCCTCTGCCCCAGTCACATTTGCTTTTTCTCTTTTCCCAAACCTCAAAACCCTTCCTGTCTCAGGTTGTTTTCACTGTTCTTACCCTATGTCCCTAAATGCTCACAGCACTGTCCCCTTCTCCTCCTTCAGGTCTTGGCTCAGAAATGTCTCCCATGCTCTCCCACCCCCATCTGAAGTTCCCTCTGCCTGTCAGGCTCTATCACATTACTCAGGTTTTATTATCTCTGCGTCAATCACATCAGAAACATGCTTTTTTTCCTTTTCCCAGAGAGTCTCACTCTGTCCTCCAGGATGTGAATGCAGTCTTGTGATCTTGGCTCACTGTAACCTCTGTCTCCTGAATTCAAGCAATTCTTGTGCCTCAGCCTCCCAGGTAGCTGAGATTACAGGTATGTGCCACCATACCCGGCTAATTTTTGTATTTGTATTTTATTTTATTTTTGAGTCTCACTCTGTTGCCCTGGCTGGAGTCCAGTGGTGCCATCTCGGCTCACTGCGACCTCCACCTCCCAGGTTCAAGTGATCCTGCAACCTCAGCCTCCGGAGTAGCTGGAATTACTGACACCCCACCAAGCCTGGCTACTTTTTGTATTTTTGGTAGATACAGGGTTTCACCATGTTGGCCAGGCTGCTCTCGAACTCCTGACCTCAAATAATCCTCCCACCTCAGCCTTCCAGAGTGCTAGTATTTCAGGCATGAACCATCACGCCCAGCCCAATTTTCGTGTTTTTAGTACAGACAGGGTTTCACCATGTTGGCCAGGCTGGTCTCAAACTCCTGAGTTCTAGTGATCGTCCCACTTCAGCTTCCTAAGTAGCTGGGACCAGAGACACACAGATGTGCACCAACCATACGTGGCCAAATTTTTGTATTTTTGGTAGAGATGGGGTTTCCCATGTTGCCCAGGCTGGTCTCAAACTCCTGAGCTCAAGCAATGTACCCACCTTGGCTTCCCAGAGTGCTGGGATGACAGGCATGAGCTACCACACCCAGCCTCTGCACGAGGTTTGGTCAGGGCTGGGTCTGTGCCCTGAAGGGGAGCTCATTCCAGCCCGGCTCCTCAATCCTGCAGTGTGTGTGTGGGCTTCTCCAGGAGGGAAGTGAGAGTCTTGTAGAAATGTATCATCCCTGGTGCAGTGGGCCGCAGAGGTGACTGTATTTTTTCAGGGTGAGGGCACCTTTGTATGTGTCATTGTGTTACAGGGAGGAAGTGTGTTGATTCTGAGCAATAAACAACATATTTCTAACATTCAGGATTGACTTCTAAAGACTCTTGGTACGTGAGGAAAAAACACGGAAGAGGAAAGCAAAGGGTCAGGGATGGCTCTTCCTCAGGTGAGATGATATTCTCGGTGGATTGTTCTGTCTGTTTCCTTTCAGAAACCCTGGGCCTTGGTGTTGTGAATCTTCTCTGAGTCTCAAGTGTCCTCCCTGACAGGTTTGCTCACACTCACCCATGCCTTCCCTCAGTCCCTCTCATCTTGCTCATGGGGTGAGGGTCCCGTGGTGTCAGTGCTGTTTGGCAGTGGAGATTGTTCAGGGGCCACATCTGGATGCACTGTCAGCTCTCTGTAGATCAGGATTAGAGCAGCTGCCAATGGAAGTCACATATTCATATGCACAAAGTACGTGGTAAATTCTAGAAAAGGAGACCAATAAGGGAAAATCTTTTCTCCCTGATTTTATACTAAATTTTTCAGTAATTGAGTGAGTTGCTGTGTTTCTGACTCAAAAAATCTTAGTACTTAGAATGGGAAATTCATACACAGACATGAATGATACAGGGGTTTTATTCCATCATTATTTTAAGAATATGAAGTCAACCTAAATAACAGCAGGAGATTTATTAAACCATTCTTAACAAATTAACCTGATGGAGACAGTGGTGTTACTGTGGAGAGTCTTGTGAAACAGGTGTTTTTTGTAAAACTGGTTACAATTTTTCTGAAGTATAGGAGCAGTACTTCTAGCTGCCAAAGTATCGTTTTCCACCAAAATGAGGTTCCTCTTCAGTTAAACAAAACTTGCTACTTTCTATATTTTTAAAACCTTTATATATATACACATATATACATACACATACATATATACACATATGTATGTATTTTGAAAATATTGCATACTTTGAAAATCTGGGACAAATGACAACACTTTGTATTAACATGTAGTTTTTTGTGAGTGTGTGTAGGTTTTATTATTTTTTGAACATATACAAAATAGAGTTTTGTACTTTAATTAATCTCATTTTCATGTATTTTATTTTATTTTGAGATGGAGTCTTCCTTTGTTGCCCAGGCTGGAACTCCTTGGCGCAATCGTAGCTCACTGAAACCTCCACCATCAGAGTCAAGCCATCCTCCCACCTCAGCCTTCCAAGTAGTTGGGACAACAGGTGCCTGCCACCATGCCCAGCTAATTATTTACTTCTAACATAAGAAATTCGTACTGAGAGGGTATCCTGACCTCTTCAAAAAGTGTAATCAAACACCACTGGGAAGACATTATGTGGTGGAAAATCCCTCACTTGGATTCGTCAGAACATTCCTACAATTGAATCCATGCTTTCCCCTCTCTCCTCTTCTCATTTTCTGTAGAGATAAGAACTTCTCCCATAGCCATTTTTTTTTTTTTTTTTTTTTTTTTTTTTTTTTTCTTGCTCTGTCGCCCAGGCTGGAGTGCTGTGGCCGGATCTCAGCTCACTGCAAGCTCCGCCTCCCGGGTTCACGCCATTCTCCTGCCTCAGCCTCCCGAGTAGCTGGGACTACAGGCGCCCACCACCTCGCCCGGCTAGTTTTTTGTATTTTTTAGTAGAGACGGGGTTTCACCGTGTTAGCCAGGATGGTCTCGATCTCCTGACCTCTTGATCCACCCGTCTCGGCCTCCCAAAGTGCTGGGATTACAGGCTTGAGCCACCGCGCCTGGCCTGCCATTTTGTTAAAATGTGTTTTCATTTCAGGGTCTACTGACATTCAGGGATGTGGCCATAGAATTCTCTCAGGAGGAGTGGAAATGCCTGGACCCTGCTCAGAGGACTCTATACAGAGACGTGATGCTGGAGAATTATAGGAACCTGGTCTCCCTGGGTGAGGATAACTTCCCTCCAGAAGAGGGGATGTGCCCTTGTGTATCTTTGTATTTTCTCTTGTTGCCTCCTGGGAGCTGCATCCTTGCTTGACTAATGTGGAAGTCATGTTGATTTTGAAATGAAAAGCTTCATGATGTAGCTTCTGGACTTTCACTGTCCCCTTTGTTTAGATGTTTTGCTTTCTTCACGATAGCTCGGGGGGGGGTTCCAGAGTAAAGTAAGCATAAAACCTTATGGCAGACCAGGCATGGTGGCTCACGCCTGTCATCTCAGCACCTTGGGAGTCTGAGGCGTGTGGATCACTTCAGGTCAGGAGTTCAAGATCAGCCTGGCCAACATGGAGAAATCCCATCTCTACTAAAAACACAAAAATTAGCCAGGCGTGGTAGTGCATGCCTGTAATCCCAGCTCCTAGAAAGGCTGACAAAAGAGAATCGCTTGATCCCGGCAGGCCAAGGTTCCAGTGAGCTGAGAACACACCACTGCACTCCAGCCTGAGTGACAGAGCAAGACTGTGTCTCAAAAAACAAAAACAAAAACAAAAACAAAACCTTCTGGCAGACTTTAAAGATATCCAGTTCCCTGTTTTCTTCTCCTGTGCTTTCAATTCAGTAGTTCTTGGAAGGGAGCTTGATGTCCACATATTACATATTACGATGCTCCCCAAGCATTCAGAAGGAGGCAGTCAGTGGAGCAATCAGTGAAATATTTTCCTAGATCATCTGCAGTGTCTTCTTTCCTACTGAAACATAGGGCTGGGACTCTAGAAAAGCTCCGGCCCGTCACAGTACTTTCTTTTTATAAGCAGGAGTCTCTTTCTGACCTGCTGTCTCCATGTTGGAGCGAGAAAAAGAGCCCTGGACTGTGGAGAGTGAAGTGAAAATAGCAACAAAATCCAGCTGGGAGGGAATGTATTACAGGTGTAAAGGCAGGTAAGAGCTCAGATGGGCAGAGTGGAAGCTCCACCTTCCAATAGTGTGTGGGGAAACTCTGCAAGTGGGAGAATTCTGTGGGAAAAGGAAAGTTTCTATCCTGAGATCTCTGAAATAACATCTTTCTTTGCCCCCTCTTATCCCTCTGCTCTTCCTTTCTTTTTCTTATTTTATGAAAGAGTCTCACTCTGTTGCCCCGGCTACAGTGCAGTGGTATGATCTTGGCTAACAGCAGCCTCTGCCTCCCAGGATCAAAGGATTTTTGTGTCCCAGCTTCCTGAGTAGCTGGGACTGCAGGCACTCACCACCATGCCCAGCTGATTTTTGTGTTTTCAGTAGAGACAGGGTTTCATCATGTTGGCCAGGCTGGTCTCAAGTGATCCACCTGCTTTGGCTTCCCAAAGTGTGGGCCTAAGATTACCTAGTTGCTGAGGCAAGAGACTAAAGGCACAAACTATTTCAGTATAATAAAGAAAATAGTTAAAATAAGAATAGTCATAATATAAATTAGATATAGAGATGATCATGGCAATTGTCAATCATTATTATAAACATTATTAATCATTAGCTTTTAATATTACTCTTTGTTGCATTACTAATATAACCTAGGAATAGCCGGCAGGTATAGGGTCAGGTGCTGAAGGGACATTGTGAGAAGTGACCTAGAAGGCAAGAGGTGAGCCTTCTGTCACACCCGCATAAGGGCCGCTTAAAGGTTCCTTGGTGAAGCAGTAGCGCCAGTGTCTGGGAAGGCCCCCGTTACTGAGCAGACTATGAAAGGGAGTCTCCTTTCCTTGGAGGAGTCAGGGAACGCTCTGCTCCTCCAGCTTCTTGTGGAAGGCTGGATATGATCCAGGCCTGCCCGCAGTCGTCCGGAGGCCTAAACCCCTCCCTGTGGTGCTTCAATGATCTAGCTCCTTGTCCGCTTTCATGTTCCTCCCGTACTCCTGGTTCCTCTTTGAAGTTCATAGTAGATAGTGGTAGAATAAGCAGTGAAAGTCTTAAAGTCTTTGATCTTTCTTATAAGTGCATAGAAGAAAACGCCGATGTATGCTGGCTTCTCTCTCTCTACTTTGGCTACATAAGAGGCAAGGGCCCACTGTCCTCTGATCACGTGACTTGCTTCACCTTGTCAATCACCTAGAAGATTCACCCTCCTTACCCTGCCGCTTGTCTTGTATGCAATAAACATTAGAGTGCCCAGCCATTTCGGCTGCTACGGGTCTCGGCGTCTTGATGGTAGTGGTCCCCCGGCCCAGATGTTTTCTCTTTATCTCTTTTTCTTGTGTCTTTATTTATTACAGCCTCTCATCTCCACACACGGGGAGAACACCCGGTAAGCTCCGTAGGGCTGGACCCTACACCAAAGCGCTGGAATTACAGGCGTGAGCCGCCATGCACAACTATTGTTATTATTTTTAATAGTTTTGTCTTTTAGTTCTCTGTAAACATGTAAGTGGTTTAAGCATGATTCCAGTGTGAATATAGCAACCACGTTAGTGTCCATTTCTTTCTTTTTGTTTTTTTAGTCGGAGTCTCGCTCTGTCGCCCAGGCTGGAGTGCAGTGGTGCGATCTTGGCTCACTACAAGGTCCGCCTCCAGGGTTCACTCCATTCTCCTGCCTCAGCCTCCTGAGTAGCTGGGATTACAGGCGCCCACCACCACGCCAAGCTATTTTTTTTCTTTTGTATTTTTGGTAGAGACGGGGTTTCACTGTGGTCTCGATCTCCTGACCTCGTGATATACCCACCTTGGCCTCCCAAAGTGCTGGGATTACAGGCGTGAGCCACCGTGCCCGTTTGTGCCCATTTCTTTCAGTAAACAGAAGTTAAGTGTGCTGTATAAATAAAATAAAAAGGCATGAAAAACACTGTACTTACATATTACCAGAAATGCAACATACACAGAAATAATTCTGACAAAAATAAAAATAGTTATAGAGGAGTGGTAGTTTTGGGAAGTGGTTATTGTTGCAGGTATGTTAAAGATCTTAAAGTTATAGCATAATAATGAAACTTAAACTTTTCATAACCTGGCCAGGTGTAGTGGCTCATGCCTATAATTCCAGCACTTTGGGAGGCCGAGGTGGTGTTCAAATCCAGCTTGGCTAACATGGTGAAACTTCATCTGTACTAAAATTACAAAAATTATCCAGGCACAGTGGAGGGTGGCAGTAATCCCAGCTACTTAGGTGACTGAGGCACGAGAGTTGTTTGAACCTGGGAGGTGGAGGTTGCAGTGAGCTGAGATTGCATCTTTGCACTCCAACATGGGAGACAGAGTAAGACCCTATCTCAAAAAAAAAGTTTCATAACCTGCAAAAACTACTTCTCTAGAACTTTTTAAATTTTTGTCAGAATTATTTCTGTGTATGTTGCATTTCTGGTAACATATATGTAGTGTTTTTTCATGCCTTTTTATTTTAAATAATATTATAAAAGTTTAGTTCTGAACAAAAGGTACACATATGTCAGTTTCTGTATCTGTCCTCTTATTAATTAATTTATGTATTTATGAGACAGAGTTTTGCTCTTGTTGCCCATGCTGAAGTGCAATGCTGCAATCTCAGCTCACCACCACAACCTCCACCTCCAACCAATTCTCCTGCCTCAGCCTCCTGAGTAGCTGGGATTGCAAACATGCGCCACTACACCCAGCTAATTTTGTATTTTTAGTAGGGGAAGGGTTTCTCCTTGTTGGTCACGCTGGTCTCGAACACCTGACCTCAGGTTATCCACCTGGCTCGTCCTCCCAAAGTGCTGGGATTACAGGTGTGAACCACCATGCCTGGCCTGTTTTGTTTTTTTTTAATTTATCTTTACTGGAGAACTTCATATATGTTTGTGGGTTGGAGTTACTCTTTAGACTTCTTTCATTTCTTTTTTTTTTTTTTTGAGACAAAATCTCAGTCTGTCACCCAGTCTAAAGTGTAGTGGTGTGATCTTGGCTCTTGGCTCACTGCAACCTCCACCTCCCAGGTTCTAGCAATTCTCTAGTCTCAGCCCACAAAGTAGCTGGAACTACAGGTGAGTGCCAACATGCTGGGATAATTTTTTGTATTTTTTAGTAGAGACGGCATTTCATCTTGTTAGCCAGGATGGTCTAGATCTGCTGACCTCGTGATCCTTCTGCCTCAGCCTCTCAAAATGCTGGGATTACTGGTGTAAGCCACCGTGCCCGGCTCATCTGAAGGTTTTTTTTTTTTTTTTTTTTTTTTTAACACATTAGTGCTATTAGATGGCTTCAAGGATTGCAAGTATTACAGTACAGACTCTTAACTTCCTTTGTTTAATAAGATTTGTCAGCTTTTGGTGATGTTGATGATGAGATGCTCCTGTTCCTGTCTCAGTCATTTCACTGTCCTGTCAGAAATAATTTAGACTGGCCGGCTGCCGTGGCTCACACCTCTAATCCCAGCAGTTTGGGAGGCCGAGGTGGGTAGATCACTTGAGGTCAGGAGTTTGAGACCAGTCTGGCCAGTGTGGTGAAGCATCGAATGTACTAAATGCCAAAAATGGGCCAGGCACAGTGGCTCCCAGTAATCCCAGCAGTTTGGGGGGCTGAGATGGACCAATTACTTGAGGTCAGGAGTTTGAGACAAGCCTGGCCAATATGGTGAAACTCTCTCTACTAAAAATACAAAAATTAGCTGTGCATGGTGGTGGCAGGTGCCTGTAATCCCAGCTACTTGGGAGGCTGAGGCAGGAGAATCACTTGATCTGCACAGCAGGTGGAGGTTGCTGTGAGCCAAGATCACTCCACTGCACTCCAGCCCATGCAACAGAGTGAGACTCTGGGCTGAGGAGGGAGAATCACTTGAGGTAGGAGAATCCTGCCAGTACCCTGCAGCCTGGGTGATAGAGCGTGACTCCATCTCAAAAATAAACAAAAAAGGAAATAGCTTAAACTGAGAGGCTTCAGACACAGAAACTTATTTCTCATGAATTTGGAAAGTGAGAAATCCAAGAGCAAGGTGCCAGCCAAATTGGTTCCTGGTGAGAGCCTTTGTCATGGTTTAGCCCAGCCATCTCCCTGCCATGTCCTGACATGGTGGAAAGAGGAACCA